AGACTCCGCTGCCACATAAGTGTGCACAGTTTTTCCTTAGTGTTAGAGTATGAAACAACACTTACTGCTTAGAACACTTTTCTTCATCTGCTCATCTTCTCCTTTTTTTTGTTTAGAAGTCATTCTCTTGTATAGTTTGAGTTTGTTGACTCAAGGTGTCGATTAGAAGCAGTCAGGAATGCCCACCTCAAGGAGGCGAAGAAGGGGTGGCATTGGAATCCATGACTGAACCAAAACGCTAATCAACTTTAATTACCTGAACTGCAACTTCAAGTTACACTTGCATGACCTGAGCGATTTGGTTTAAACAACAAACCACTGATCTTTTGTGATAGTTTTCTACCCACTTCTGTTTCCTTTTCTAATTTATCGGTCCCTGAACGCTCAACGGCATTCACTTTCACCTGCCCCCTGCTAAGACTGAATTTTGACGAGGACTAGTCGATCTGGTCACCAATAACCTTTTGCGTCATAAGGGCTTGTCAGTACATCTGCTCAGTGTCTCATCTAGAGGCCTCCTCGAACAAATGTGTTTGAAACCTAACACCTCCGGCCCTGGTCTTGTATAGTGTAGGTACGCGATTAGCTATCGTGTTATCCAATCTGTTTCCTGCGCTAATCCACTCACAGTATCCAGTCGAAACGGTGGAGGTCAATTGGCCTTGGCCAGGGTTCGACAGCTGGTGCCCTATACATAAGTACCGTACACCTTCGAGAGTACCTGTACATAATTGAAGTGCACTACTGAACATCAGTGGAACAGGTCAAGAGTGTGCAGTTAGTGGCGATTAGGCAGCTCATTGGCCAGTTTTTAAACGTCTTCGAGAACAATGCATAGGTGTCGTTGAGCTCTTCGGAAGAAGAATGATGTTGGGATCCCGTGCGGGCAGCGGGACTGATGGTTACGAGGTTTCGAACACGACGCACATTTATTAGAACATAAATATGCAAACGAGATGTCTTTTGTGCGCATCTGCTCTTTCCGCCTCCTGCGAGGCAATGTCTTGAACCACGAAAGGTGCATACGTAATGAGACGAGTCCGTCTAGACCCCCATCCTTTCAATTTTCAATGGTAGGAGAACACAAACAATGAGCTTAGGTTTCGGAATTTTGTTAGAGCATGGGCATTTTCGCCTTCACATTAAAAAAACCCAATGACGTCAAGAACATAATAAAGGAGAAATGTGAACGGAAGCTAGAGTACCTCTTTGCTTCTGATTCCCTTCTTCACTAGTTCTTATTTGTTCGATTTGCCATCTTATGACTTCCAGTGAATTTTCTTTAGTCTGCCTTTCCTTTTTTTCTTTTAGGTGCGCTGTTCGTATTTACCCCCCTCCCCCGACTCGACGGCACTTTTTTCTTGGAAAAAGTGGGGAAACTATTGAAAAAAAAACTCTGGAAAACTGGTCGTGTGTTGGGAAAATTTAGGAGGACCGTAGATAAGATGGAGATGGGGAAGGATTGGAGGGGGGGGGTCGTAGCAGAGGAGAAAACTTCGAGGGGAGAGGTCGTATTTTGCTAAAATTCCATTCATTAAAGATTCCGAAATTTAACTTCTTGTAAAAACAGCGAAGCGCACTGTTTTCTGGAAGAAACAGCACGCGAAAAGCGAAAAAGGAAGGAATAAGGGAAGAGCCAAGTGTTCCCGTCCACCCTTATTCTGCCCCTTTTATCAGAACCAGGAAAAAAGGAACGCCTGTTGTGGTGGAAGGGCGAGCCTCTCGACGAGTTACAAAACGCGGCTTCTTCCCTCACTAGTCCTTAATTCCAGGAACTACCAGTCAATTACTTTTTGGCATTTCCCTGGCATTTCTTTTCCGCAAGCAATCTGCGCACCATCCTTTTTGGCAATGAAAACTACCGGCGGCTTCTGGAATACTGAATTCACAAAGAAAGCAGTCCTGATTTCTGTGACATCTAGACCGAATCCGGCGGTGGCGCTTATGCTTTTTTAGAGTGAAATAATGGACGAAAGGTTTCCGCGTCTGCCTGTTACCGCTTTGATTTTAAAGGCGGCTCACACTTCCGATTTCATGCAACGATTCCACGACGATAATTCCATCATTTGTACGCATCAACAAATCTGAACTTCGCTATCAGGTGAGTACGCCTTGCTGGCTTCTAATAGAAAGCCCTATGAAAGTTACTACTTTCAGTTCTAGGAAGGCCTTACAGGCCTTGTTGAACTGAAGTAAATCCCTCATCATGATAGGTAGCCCTACGGTTTTACTTCTCCTTATTAGCTCACACAATAGAGCAATGCTTCTTTTAAGTCTTGGCCACAGCCTCAGAAATTCTATTTTCAGCCAAACATCTATATATGTCACTCAAATAGCCACTGTTGCACGTACCTTGGCGAACCTGTGTGCTGTTATTCCGACATCAGCTTTTCTGATGTGTTAGTTTACATTTTCTCTCTTCATTTACTCTGAACTGATATTGGTTAGCAACACAATCAGTTGATCAAATTATTTTTTGGGAAGGACGCGGAGTAAAGGAAGAGTTTTGGCACTTATCTACTCCTGGTTTTTGATGAGCTATGTTTCTACACTCGAAATCCTGAGATGTGGTAGGCGTGGCTGCGTACTTCAACTAAACCTGGCGGTGGCTGTGCTTTTGGAGAGATATTTTCATTTTGATACAACTGTGGTCGTGCCTCTGTACAACATAGAACAAGATGACAGTTGTCTCAAACTGAAATATCTCACAAATAATCCATTCTGTGCCACGTTCGAATGCCACGCCTACTCCGTCCCAGGGATAAGGAGTTACTTCCATTAGTGATAGGCAATTTAAATGCTAAATAGCTTACACAATAACCAGCGTGGAGTGCTGATGGGCGCTGCTCGGCTCAGGAGGGGGGGGGCATTTCGCATTTTCGCTAGTTCCTTTTGCTAATTTTAGCTAACTAACAGGTAAAGTCTTGTGAAGGTGCGAAATGGTGCAAGTGAACTTTTTTGTTCACAGGAATTTACAGGTATTCACAAGGTGCCCTGTACAAGCTTCGCTCAGTTCCTATCACATGGCTCCCACCAAGCGAAAATGCGCCTAGCGTGTTCCCACTAAAGCCGAATTGCGCCTAGCTAATGTACAACTCAATGTTTTCTCTCTCAGTCTAGTTTGATACCAGTTTATGGGATCTGTAGAGACGGAGAGCGTGGTTGCTGTAGGCTAATGTCAGTTTGAAACTTGATCCAGGGACCGTGAGCACGCTGTATTGCGCCCCACCTACTACACCGCCTGCACAATGTCTGGCTTTACAAATGAGATGAATACTTAAAAAGTTCAACTGGTAAAGCTAGAAGTATCATATCTGCATTCATTGCATAACCGGCGAGCACACTGTGTGCATTTCATAGATATTGATTGCGACGACTTTGAGTGTTTGCCCGATCCATGTGGAGGTTCACTTCATGAGCCTCACATTTTGGGCAACAGAGATGATAACTGTTTGGAAATTGACGTGAGCAACGGCCTTAGCTCAGTCGCTCAGAAACTCTGCGAAAAACGGAAATCGGATTCAGCAGGGTGCTCCGGCTCACTCAACAAAACTTTTATGCACAACTCAATATGCAGAGTCCAGTGAAACTGAGGATACTGGTAATCTTCCCATTAGCCAGTCCTTACCTGTCCCTCTCTTTGATTGATGATTTACTTTGAGTTTCTGGCAGGCCATTGTTGTAGTGAGAGGCTGCAAGAACGGAATTAATAACGGAATGATCCCTGGAGGCAGAAGTTCCTCATGGAGGGGTCCCCTGCACCCAATCAACAAGATGTGGCGTCATATTCAGGAATTTCTGTTGCAACGCCCAAGACAGATGAATTTGAAAAGCCTCGAACAGAAGATGAACGGATCCATCTTTTGTATGAGATATCGAGCGCATCAGAAGAAGAGTTCACTTAACTGCAAGGCGACGCAGAAGAGCCGCTAGTGGGGGGGGGGGTGTGCGAATGGTGCAGTCTAATCAGGAGGCAGTGCGATCGGTCTTATCAACATGTGGGCTACTTCGCAGGAAGAAAAGTCAAGATTTTGAATAACCTAGTTCCGGACTTTTCCGTAACTCTTTTCCCTATTTCTGAGCGTATTGATATAAAGCCTAGAGGTTTACCGTTTTATCAACCCCCCTCCCTTACGTTCTACTAAGTAGCTCCATTTTTTTCGTAACAAGTGTACTGTCCGTTGTGAATTTCATCCGTTCACAATGTAGTGTTGCGCTGGGGGCGAAGGTGGTGCATTCTCCGTTTCCTTATGGCGACGGTGTTGATTACGGTATTTATCCGGTAGATTAGGCAATAAGACACAGCAGATTGGATAATTGCGACGCGCCATGAACTAAATGACCTATTGCTGGCTATCTCTCCTCCGCCCGTTGTCGATTTTGGGAGACGAGATGATTTGAATAGATACCGAACATTAGGCTGGCCTGCCACGGTTGAAACATAGGAAGAGATTAGAAGGAAAGAGTTGAAAAGAAGAAAATGGAAAAGGGATGGAAATGATCCGTTGATTTTAGACTACTACAAGCATGGCCCATAATGGTTCTGTTCCTTTGCTTTTTGCTTTTTGCTGCACTTGTGAGCTGGTACTTCAGTGATGAAGATGAATGCTATGACTACGAGGAGGAAGGCGCCGAAAAGAGGACTATGATCGGGTAAGTTTTGGATTTCAGGGATATCCCCACATCGAGTACTTTTTCAGGATACTTTTCCCATCCGATGAAGACGATAAAGTTGATGATCCACTATTTGGCCACTGTAACAGGGAGGAATGTTCCAAGGTGGGCGCCTGGAACGATCGCTTCGTGAACTCCTCCCAGAGATTTTGAAATTTCAGAAAAGCCTACGTCAGCCCTAGTGAAGAGAATGCCAACGAGTTGTTGCCCACCCCCAGGCCGATCCTCGACGAGTGCTGAAGTGGTCGTTGAATAAATCGTTTCCTTCTCGCTTGCTTGTCTGAGTCCGACTTTTTTTTACTCTTTTTTAATTAGTAAGTTCTCTGGATAATTGGAATAAACATATTATCTGTGGACTACTGCCCAACGCAGCCACGCCGAGGAGATGCATCCGTATTTGAAGAAAAATTTAGGGCGAGCGGCTTCGTGGTCGCATCGTTCCACGTCGCTTCCCCAAATGGACGTGTCCATCGATCCTGGTCAGTTATTCAGAGATGCCCCCTTTTCAAGCACTACCGAGAAATGATATCTTAAAGGCATAAGTTACGGTAATTTGGTACTCGATCTAGAATGGTAGCAGCGGTGCTATATGGTGGGAAAATGACGCAAAAGCGAAGTGAAAACGGTCAAAAACCTGCAAAAAAGCCTTTGTTCTACACGACGGAGAAAGCAATTTCGGACGAGTTTCTCGCTGGCATCCTGCCAGTGACCGCTACTGCGTATACGGCTGCATGTAGGTACCCATATATCCATGCAGCACCGCAGCCGCTTCATATAAATCCCTTTCCTTCATGTTGTACTTTGTAAATGAAGCGATGTGGGCGTCAGCATCAGTCGAACCATTCGCTGGAGCGGGCGGGACGCAGTGGGCGTGGGCGTCGGTATGTTGAAGCTTGATAGGGCGCTATACACGGCTAACGCTCAGAAGCGCGCTTGCCGCGCGTGCTCAGGGGCCCGGATTCTGACCTACTAATCCCACCCGTTTTGGGATTTACTCGTAGCAATGATGTCAATTGCATATAGCGGACTGCTGTACTGGGCACCTCTCCGGAACATTTCATTCATTTTTCAGCAGCGTTTGTCACTAATTTTCCTCTCCAATCCATCGTTTATGAGCGCTGTATGGTCCATAACGGAGGGACGGATGTTTTGACAGCATACAAGAGTTCGGCAGAAAACCAAATATCAATAATCACCGCATGAGACAAATCCATACAAACCGTGTGTCCCACGGTCTGGAATGTGTTCATCCCCCAGGGCGTTGACTATACGGGTGAGCGTGAGGACTCTGGAGCAGAAGAGAGGATGAGATGAGAGAGAGAGAGGAGGGAGAGAGAGAAAGAGAGGAGCATCGTTTTCAGGAGAGGTTGTAATTCGGTCTAGGTATGAATTTTTTCACGCTGCTTAATTTATTTAGCCTTCTTCTGAGACGCGTTCAATTCACTGGCTAGGAGCAGAAAGGGGACAGGGCTCCTATCTACCAGAATATTCTCTGGCTGCGGAGGTGACGTGGGATCTTTCTATCCCATCTACTGGCCGAGCATTCGAAGGGAGGAAAATAATGAAGAGGGATGAAAAAAGGAAGGAAGAAAAAAGGGAGGAGGGTGGCCGGATGACAGATATCCTGGGACCCTGGCCGAGCATTTGAAGGACCGATATGCAAAAGGGAACGAAGGAAGAAAAAGAGGAGAGAGAGGAGGGAAAGGGAGGGAGGATAGAGGAGAGCGGAGGGGTGATATTGCGAGAATTCTGCTCGCTGGGATGATGTTCTCAAGAAAAAAGAAGAAATTATCACCGGGATCGCCTTGATAGGTTCGAAATGACCGCTCACACACTTGAGCTTCATGTTGCTGTCCTTCTTTCATTGTTTTCAGTGCTCCCGCCCCATCTCCCCACCCCGCTCCAGCATCTCAGCCTGTGCACCTCTCCAGCTGTCTGCTCCATATGGGCGTGTGTGCGTGATCCTCTTGCGTAACCGATCTGCCGCCTTTCCATTAAACCACCAAATAAAACACATCGGTAGCCTTTTGGCTAATGTGTTAATGCTTTTCGTCATAGTGCTGCTATAAGGAGGTACTTACGTATGCTTGGCTAAAAGACTAACCGACTGGCATTACTGTAATAGAGCGTGAAATTGACACCTCATATTGAGCAATCAAATGATGATGTGCATTAGTGCGTCACAGGCAAATATTATAGAAGCCATAATGATCTTGGTCCAGTTCTTTTTTGAGCTCGAGCTGATCCCTTGGCACGTCAATCTACCTGGTGGATTGGCACATCTTCGTTTTTCTACGGCTCTTCCATCATGCACATCTGCTGCTTCACAAAGTGTGTTTCTGTGGCCCATCTACAGTAATCCATCACCGTCACCACAAAGGAGTTGCCTTTGTGTTCACCTTTTGCACTGCGTCTCCTGGCCGATCGTGCTATTCACAACGCTCGCTGCTATAGTATGCAACGCAACATCAAATATACATTACGCCGGCGCACCTTTTATGCTGGGTCTCTTCGTGTGTCGGACAGCAGATGAGCACGGATGAATGTCCAGCAATTCACTCCTCAATGGGTAGTTAGTTATAAATAGTTAAGACATCTCAAATGTCCTTTGGGATCGTTGAGGGTTTCCTCCCCAGCATTCGGGAGGGGGACTCTCTCCAAGATTCAGGAGAAGCTCGGTCGGGGTGCCAGAAGAGCTTCCTCGATCGAGTTCTGTTCAAGATTCAAGAGAAACTCGGCCAGGGTTCCAGGAAGGCTACCTCGCTCGACCTTGCCTGATAAGCTGGAAGCAGCCCGAGACAACCGTCGGGTCGCTTCTGCTGACCAGACGTGAGGGATTACATGAGCAGCAGCCGTAGTGAAAACAAAGCAGGACACTCGGTGACCAGATTTGAACCACATAAATGGCCCGGAACGAAGCTGTGACCCCTAGCTGGCGTGTTTAGACCAATCATATGGCCCCCGAAAAAACCTTCTTGGTGTTGGCCGCTATCCTTATCCCTCGGGAATCTCCTTTCTTATCCATACCCATACCGCACACCGTGCCATGCCACTCACAATCAGCACCTTCTTTGTATCGACAGCTGAGCATTAGCATATAGGCTCCTTAGGTGGCGGTACCATCAAACGGATTTGTGAGAGTCAAGGCAGTGCGACCCATCGCGCGAAAGGCATTAGCATGTCGGTGACACCTGTGTACAGTAGATTAAGCGACAAGTCGTCAAGGACGTTACGGTATTTGTTAACTGCTGCGCAGGGTTCCTCACGGGAGAAACAAAGCCGACAGAATCGATCTTAAGAGGCCAAAAATCCTGGAATTTTCCAGAGTCGGGCTCGTAGATTACTTGTCGGTCCACCGAAGGAAAATATGGACCCCTCCCGTCGTTTTCAAGCTGCTGTGAGCCTTAATTATAGACATTTCGGATCTGAAGTAATGCTGCCTTGACCGCTTCTATTCCTACAGTGGTTCCGCTCCCTGCTCTGGTACTAAACTGTCCCAGAATGGAGCTCGAAGAGGAGCTGGTCTACCTAAATCTTTCTCTCCTTTGCAGAGTTTGATTGTGCATTGCTCGTCCTTCATCACCCCCAAATGTTGCGATCGTCTGGCTGCTCTCTTGGTTTACCTCACCCATCTGGCACCGCTTTGTTGGAAGAGGGTTGCGCGCGTCCTCCTCTTGGGTCCTAAACCTTCCTGCAGCCCAGATGTTGCCGAGGTCAAAACAGGGCAGATGAGAGCGAGATAAGCGACATTTGCGCCAAATGAGTATTCGACCCTGCGTGTATTGGAAATTCTATGGTTATCCTAGGTGGGTAACCGTTCCTGAATGATCCATGGGTAGAGGGACACAAACAAGGTTGGTTGCTTTCTTAAGCTAGAGAACCCTCGAAAAGATGCACATATGTTGTCATTGAAGCTGCATAAGGGGTTGATCATTTTAGCAGAAAGATTGTGCCCAGGAAACCTTTCTGGGTCTCTCTAACACAGGGAATATGCCCCCCCCCCCCCTCCCCCCCCCTTGCTAACTTGCTACGTCTATAAATCGAGCAAGTGAGGATTATGTTAAGCGACGTCAATGTGTGAGGATTTCGAGCAAGCTTTCGCACGGTGGCAATTTGATCGCCAAATTCCCGTGCCGTAGGTGTCTTTGAGGGTTGTGAAAAAAGAATGCCTCAGAGAAGTGCTCCAGAAGCCACCTTTCACGCATCAAAAAGCGTCTCCTGCAGTCGCAACCATCTAGACATTACGAAATTTTGGGGCATGAGCAGTGGGAGGAGCATGGTAGCTGTTGGAAAGCGATGGTTGTCAGTTCGAGCTCCTGATCATCCAGTCCATCGTCCTGCTCTCCTGCAACCGTTGAAGTGATTGTTCAGTTTTTTCCCTGATCCGCACAAGCGTTCTCTCGTCTTCTCAGCTCATTGTTCTAGCATCTCTTTCTGGCGGGCTGCTTTTGTCTTTCGCCATTGCCGTTGGCTGGCTGGCCGGCCGAGCAGCTTACGCTCGTCGGGGCACATAATGCCATGATTGAATCTACCTTTCCGTGCTCCAATTCACTTACTCCCTATCAAATCTCGGCCTCTGTCCCCAATAGTCCCTCGGACGCCTCCCATAATGCACTTTGTCTCATCCATGTGTGTGTGTCGCCTCATGCTCAATGTACTTCTCGCCATTACACACGTATACGGCGGATTTATTCGTGACACTCAATCACCGTATTCTTATTAGCCTCACTTGAGTCCTAGCGGGGCCGAGCCCCCCCCATCCCGCAACTATGTCTCCTGGCTGCTACCTTTCATCATGCCCCCGCTGGAGCAATTTCTTTCTGGCACTTTCAGCGCGTCTCATCTTCCTTCTCACACGTGCATTTAACGAGTGCGCCTCAAGGTATTAGATAATGTAAACAGATTTATAGGCGCAATCGATGGCTCTGGCCGTATTGCGACTTTTGTTTGGCTCTGCACTTCGAAACACTTCTGCTCATACCTGCTGCTGCAAGCTCCACTCATCTCGAGGGAGTACGGTGTGTGTGTGTCAAAGCGTGAGCGTTGTGGGCACCTGATGTAAGGCAATAACATGAAACGACTAGCGGTGCTGCACCACGGCTAACAACCTGCCCGCATCGTCCAGTGGTGATTTATGCGCCAGATGAGTAGCCAAATCTCCGCCAAGCGTCCCCTCGGCTAA